ACGTGTTAAATCTCATAATGTACTCACTAGGAAATACCGCCATCGAGCGGTGGTGGTACATGCCTGTAATCCCAGCACTCAGGAGGATCACTGAGAGTTCAAGGCCAGCCTGGGGTACATGGTGAGTTCAAGGCCAGCCTCAACTACAGTGAGACCCAGTTTCAAAAACACAAAAACAAAAGGAAATACTTGCCCCAGTTTGTTACGTTATTCTAAGAAACTGAACCAGTAGGAGATTGGAGGAGATTTACAGTGGGACCTTGGTTCAGGAATGCTTTTGTTTATGAACAATTTGGTTTGGAAATAGAAGCGTTTGCAAAATTTTGCTTTTGTCTGCGAACTTTGCATCAGGTGATGAATATGACCATGGCCATCTTTTCCAGAATTGTGGAACGAATTAAGTTTGTGAACCGAGGCACTACTTGTATTTATTTTAATTTTATTTATTTATTTATTTATTTAGGTACTGGGGATCAAACTTGGGACCTTGTGCTTGTGAGGCAGGTGGCAGCAACACTGAGCTAAATCCCTGGCCCTACTTGCATTTATTTTGAAAGATTGGCTCACACTGTTGGAAGCCTGGACTCGATGGGGCTGGCTAGCTAAAAACCCGGGTAAGAGTGACTTGGCAGTGTCCAGCCTGACACCCACAGTCTGAGTGAGACAGCTGATAACGGGCTGAGTTCTACGTGGGGTCTTGAGGCAGAATTGCTTCTTTCCCAGGGAATCTGCCTTATGGCTGATGTCTTCAGCTGTTGATGGGGTCCATCCACAGCAGGAGGGTGATTTGTACATGTTAGTCACACCTATAACATTTAGGGTAGTGTTTGACCAAACAACTAAGCACCATGGACTGGTCTATTTGACATATAAAAATAACCATCATGAGCAGATTCCAACTGGAACTAAATACTGGCTGCCCCAGAATCTGTTAAAGATATGTGAGCCTAGTGATTTTTAATTTAGGGTGACTAAAGTTTTAACTTGCTTTACAAGAGTTGCATCAGGCATTTGGGGGAAATCTTTGAACAGAACATATCAATGTACTCAGGCATTCTAATCACTGCGCCTTAACACAAGTTGGGCTGTGAAGTGATTCTGAATTACTTCATGATGGTTCAAAGGTCAAGAAAAACAGTGCAAATCAATCTGTGAAACTTAACAGGAAGCACACGGTTGATCTCATGGCTGTCATCTGGCATTTTCAATTTTGCTTCTGGTTAAAAATAGCTGACAAGCACAATGTGCTCTGCTGTTCAGCAGTAAAGATGGTCAGTCACGGCGAGTTCTCACGACTTACTGTAATCTCTCAGTTCGGTTTCTGCTAACTCCAGGCTCACCCTATGCAGATGGTATGAGGAAAACCCTCCTCTGGGAGCCCAGATTCCAAATAAATCACAAGCTGGGCACATGAAAATATCAATAAATGTGGGAAACATCTCACGGTATCGCTGATCTTTAGTAATCTGATGCTGTTACTACACGCCAGGTGTACTTTGTTAGCACAAGACAGTGAAGAGTTTTTAGATTTACAACTATCCAGTTAATCAACAAAGGATTATTCAGATCCTTACTTTAAATAAGAAAATTACATGTCATCCCCAAATATTTAATGTATCAGTCCCTTTCCACACCTAAGGAAAGGCAGGCTCAGAGAAGTCAAGAAACTTGCCCAGCAGAAAGCAGCTGACCACTCCAGGCTAAGCGTTCCGCAGACACAGCTTCCAAACACGGGCCTGACAGTGCTTGCCCTTCTTGAGAAAGGTGACTTGCTCCCTGTAGCTTTTGTTTTCCTTTCTTACCACTTACTGTTGTAAAGGGCAAAGGTCTTTTTCTTGGGAAAGCACAGCAGGTTGGGCCATTTTCATTATACTTTTATTATGGTGGAGTTTGTCTTTGGGAAGATCAAATTTAAATGTTGCTTACTTTGTCTTTTTCTTAATTAGCACTGGGATAGGCCAGGCCTTGCCAGGCATGCCTGTGATGGAGGGGCGGGAGACCAGGCACATGGTGGGAGCAAGACTCTGCATCCCTGGTGAGATGTCTGGGGGTTGATGAGTGTTTTCAGTTACAAGAAAAACTGGGATCCCCCCCCACCCACACACCCTCACAGCTGCACCTGCCGCAGCACAACCCTGATCACACAGGTGCTCAGGTGCGAGCTGCACAGCGGTGCCTCACCTCCATCCAGTTGTCCTGAAGACAACCCTGTATTCCGCATTTAATACAGCCATGCTCAGTATTTGTAAGCATGCACATAAACTGAATTCATAAACTTGGATTCATAAACTGAAAGGGTACTAGAGATCACCTAGTCTCACAGCTTCAAACTTTTTTTGTTTTGTTTTGTTCCTCAGATTAACAGCAAGCCCAATAAGCAGAACTCACAAACACTGGTGTGATGCGGCTCCTATTAGTTTACCCTCTCAGTTTACAAATTCTTTTAACAAAAATGTGCTGAGCAAATATGTAGTGGTTGGGGAAAACACTGGGCCTAAAATATTGAGCATAAATCTGGTCCCTACAACACAAAATAGTAACTTCAGTGATACAAATGCACCTGGTACCTTGGAGGGATGAAATGGGGTTTCCTACTTCAGCCTTAGGCGCTGAGTCTGAGCCTTGCCTCTAAGACTGAGCAAGTCAGCTAGCAGGGCGGGTGCTGTGGGGAACAGAGTAATGCAGACCGGGACAGAGTGCTCGTGTAGCCAGGTTATACTCTGGAAGCTCTCCTGAATAAAGTGGAAGTAGTTTTCAGTAGCAGTTAATGAAGTGAGAACTGGTGAAGAGGCAGTGTGGAGGCCCACCCATGGTCTGGATTCTTAGAAAGGAGCCACTGAAGGCCTTTAAAGGAGGGAAGCAAGCAGACCAACAGAGACCGTGAATTTGCAGCAAAGGAGGAAGACAACTCAGTGCAGTAGCACACAGAGAGAGAACCAGGGCAGGAGCACACTGAAGGGAAAACCATGCATCCATTTAGAGGTTCCAGGGACATCGAGAGAAGTCCAGTAAGTCTGGCTGGGTATCTTGAGCCTGAAGTCTTGAATAGGAGAATATACTATAATTCACATACAAAGAACTGGAGAGAAAGGGTTCTGGAAAAGGTTAACTGCTTAAATGAGTTTTGGCAATGCTTATTAATTTTTTTATAATGATCATACATTGTTTTTATAACCCACAAAAAGCATATGTGGATCTCTTTAAATTTGTTCTCCCTGGGGTTTTTCTTTAAAACAAACTTAGGCCATATCACATATAGAATAGCCTGTTATTTCCACTACAACTTTTACTCTGAGGCAGTACTATGCAGTTTTTAAAGTTATACTATCTACAGCATTTAAAAGCATATGCCAATATTACGGGGCTTCTTTCACCAAACTGCATGATGAGGCTGAGTTCTATGAGGCTATAACAAAGACAAATCTTGTGAGAATTAAACCAGTGCTCACAGGATATCTAGTGCTTTTTCCTTTGGTATTGGGGATGGAACCCAAGGCTTTCCCACTGAGCTATATTCTCAGCCCTTTAATTTTCTTTTTTTGGTACTGGGGATCGAACTCGGGACCTTGTGCTTGGAAGGCAGGCAGTGGCACCACTGAGCTAAATCCCCGGCCTCCAGCCTTTTAATTTTTGAGACAGGGTCGGTCTTGCCAAGTCAATAAACTGCCCAAGCTTGGTTCAAGCTTTCAGTCCTCCTGCCTCAGCCCCATGCCCAGCTCAAGTACTTTCTGGATTGGAGTAATCACAGGCAGCCCAAATGACCTCCCCAAGATGAGTGATGGCAGGACAAAAGCAAAGCTGAGAGTTAGAGCAGGGTTTCCTCAAAGTGACTCAGAAATGATGATGAGGAGATAGTCATTTCTGATATTGCCCAGGAATTATGCTGTTAGCCTAAAAACAGTAAAGTTGGCTGGTCTTTGTTTGACCATTTTTGCCACAGCCAGATAGATCACAATCAGATTAATATCACTTATCAAATGGTAACTGACCTTAATGGAACACATATTCTCAAAAGCTATAGTTAGGCATTTGGTACTTTCATTAGAGATAAATTAGAATTACAATTCATTCAATATCACTGTAATACTTGGCTTTTATTTTCAATATGCTCAAAGGAACTTTTAAACTTTCTATTTATTACACTATTGCCAATTTACTCCAATCTATAAAAGCTCTCTGAAGCTACAGTGTTAACACGTCAATGACACACATTCCTAGCAGCTGGCTATGCTGCACTTAGTCATCAATCGAGGTTAAGTGGAACACTTGGATAATGAGTGATTCAATATCAATTTCTGTGAAGAACACAGGTCTTCTAGTGCTAGTTCAACATATTAAATTTAGGTTTCTTGGTTGTGGGTAGAGGTGGGTGTACTGTCAGACTGCAGATATCAGGAAGGCAGGCAGAAATACCATCAAGACAACATAAAAAGACTTAGCACCATGGTCAAGATTTTAAAAACCTCATCTGTATCTGAATGGATCCATGTTAATGCAGAGAAACTGACAACTATATACAATAAAACTTTTACTTGGGGACATAAGCCAGCATGGAAATGCTGGCAAAGATAAAAAAAAATCTATTAAAATCTGCTATTTTCTAAAGCCATGTATTAGATTTTACTTGAAATCTTGATTTTTAACTCACACTGCTAAGGAAGTTTAGGAAATACAAAACCAAATGTGGAGGATCAGCAATTATCTATGTACAAGTTCTACTTCAGTTGCCTAGTAATTATTAAGTAGCTTGAAAAGTTTAGCACAGCATTTCTCAAGTATGCCTCACCCTAAGAATTAGCTGAGGAACCTCTCACAAATAAAGATTCTGGCTGAATGAGAGGCCAAGAATCTATACTATAAGCACCTCACGTGATCCGAAATAATCAGGCAAATTTGAAAAATATGGGCAAAAGGGGAACACAACATACTACTAAGGCTATGGGTCCCTCACTATTAAGCAGCTGGCCAAACTACCTGGGAATGGAAAACATTCACTGAAATTAAGGGATTATCTATAGAACAGTTTATTTAAAGTCCAAAACACAAAATTACTCATTTTTCTTACCAGACCACATCATTTTTACCCTATGAATATTTAGGGTTTCTCTATTAACAAGTGCAGGTTTATTATTGAACTGTAGGCTCAAATAATTCATATACACACACACACACACATATACACATACACACACACACATATCAGTTTACTACAGAGGACATGTACTTTAACAAACTTTTAAAGAAAATACATAAATACACAAAGCATTTCCCAACACTCTTTAAGTCTTCACAACCATTCTTTAGCCAAGATCTGACCAAAGATAATTTCCCACAAAACATTACAAGATTAAATAGAATATAGTATTTTATACACTTTAGCTTATTGTTGCAGTTCAAAGTTGCCCTTTCTTTGATGGCTTTTATATATTTTATACTTATTAAACAGAAGTCTTTTCTTTAACTGATGACTTAAATAGAATTGCTTTTTGGTGTGACTTGTCCTCAATCAAGAACTTACATAGTCATGATGAAATCATATGATTGACATATTTAGGGCTTTTAGTAAGGATCTTTTCAACCTAATAAGGAAAAAATTTAGTATTAATCAGTACAATATCCTTTACTGTTTTGTTTCACAACTAGTGCCTGGAGTGCTGTTATTTCCAATATAATCAGTTGGCATCAAAATATAAAGTAAAAATATGTACACTTTTATACATGAACTCTTACCTGAATAATCTCAGATCTCTTAAGAATGTTCCACAAAAGTGGAATTTCTTCCTAAAGTTACACTGAATGTGGTACAATGTGTACAACTTGGTTAACCAGTGCCTGCTTTTCATTTCCAAGAGTTTTCCTCATCTTGAATCAAATGCACAATCTTATTCCCATATCACAATGCACTGGCTTACAGTTTTGCATATAAAATCCAACTCAAGCTTATTTTGGTTTATTTTACATGCTTTATTAAATCGGTACTTATATTTACAATATCTGCAGAAAGAGTCCCTTCCAAGGCACTCTCACACACACCCACACACACCCACACAGACATCCATACTGCAGCCCCACAGACCCACTCCCATGAGATGTGAGTGTCAGACTCCTAGAATTAGGCAGCTGTAAGGGGCTAAGGGCTGTTGATGTGATTTCCAATTTTTTTTTTTTTAAAAGAGAAAGCATGGGGGAATGCATTTGGCATCACAATGCTAATTAAGTTTGTGTATATCAACATAATATGGCAGTTAACACTGAATATTCCTTTTACATTCTATATACACAGAATGACATCAAGGTTTTGTGGGTCAACAGAATATTCCAACTTCAGTCTCAATGCTGTTTGTAGTGACTTCAAATTCATATAGGGGCTTTCCCTAAAAATAATTCAAGTCTATGGAAGTGAAATAAGGCACAATTAATATTGATTTGATCTAGGGGAAGGAAGGGAAGGGATAAAACTGGTTTGAAATGATCTTGGAGGAATTTCCTTGACTTCAATCCACTTGAAATCCCTTGTTTCCTTTTCCCTGACAAAGCCCAAAAAAGAACAGTTTGGGAATTCACATTTTAATGTTTCAGTAGCCTAAACTACTCAAATTAATGTGCAACTCCCACCTCCTCTGCCCAGGTAACCTCTTCAATGCTAAAATAAAAACATAGCATGTGAAGTAATAGTCCCTTGCTGTTTGCTGAGGAGATTTGTACATTTGAGTAGTAAATACGTATCTGGTTGTCTCTGATGTATTTTGGAGAAAAAGAAAAGGAGAAAGGAGGAGAGAGAAGAAAGTAAGATAGGGGATAGGGGATGGAGGAGGAGGTGGAAGGAAGAGAAAAGAAGGAGGGGGAGGAGGGGAGCTAAAAGTAACCTCCTGACTTTCTTCCTTTTCAGGATGATGAAGCGCCACCAGGCATTACAAACAAGTGCCACAAATGAGTCTGGCAGCGTACATAATGTCTAGTATTCAAATCTTCAGAGTGAGACTCATTTATCTTGTACACAATCTGTCAAATATTTTTTGCAGCAGGTCAATCAAACCAAAAGACACTGGACATTCTGTGAAAGGGAATAAGAATTGTAGTTCTGAAGGCCCCTGACTTTGGTTGTTTACAAAGTTCAATCCTGTTTATTGTGATCCTTGGTATCTTCTTCATCTGTATATTCTGAAGGTTCTTCCCCCGGTTTTAGGAGTCTGCCTACATAATCATATTTCTCTGAAAGATACAGCAAAAGAAAATCAGCAGTCAAAGTTGTTTCACTATTCCATTACAGAGAGGGAAGGCAGGCACTTGGCTCTTTTAAAAACATATAGGATAAGCTAAAATTTTTCCTAATGCTTCACCACGGCTGGTCTTTTTACATGCAAAGCTTAAGCAAAAGAAAACAGTTTTAGGGAACATATAAAGCCTGGGGATTATTCTTTGGAAGAGTGTTCCGTACCAGTGGCTCTTAATTGGACAATCCATCAGAATCACTTGCAGATTTTTTAAAAAAAAATATACATGGAATCCAACTCAGAGCTGTCCAGCCCAGGTTTTTAGATTAGGTCTGGAGACAAATGAAGCTGGTCTAAGGTACACTGTGAATCTCAGAACAGTTCTTTAATTCTCAATGGCCCAAAATATTATGATTGAAGAAATGAGCTGCCAATGTAGGGAATTTCTAAGTTTTTAAAACATATTAGAGGGCCGGGGATTTAGCTCAGTGGTTTCACGCCTGCTGTGCAAGTGCAAGGACCTGAGTTCGATCCCTGGTAGTAAAAAACAAAACAAAATAAAACAAACAAACAAAAACCAAAAAAACCAAAAAAACATATTAGATTGTGCATGGAAGTGGGATGAAAAAAATCTAGGTCTAATATTTTGTAGTACAGACCATGAAAAAAGAAATGGTGATTTTCTTGGAGATAAAGAAGGATGTGGGGCTGGGGATTTGTCTCGGTGGTGCTGTGCTTGCCTTATAAGTGCAAGGTCCTGAGTTTGATCCCCAGTACCACGAAAAAAAAAAAAGGAGGATGTAGAAGAGTCATGCTAGAGAATGGCATGGTAAGCAGATCCAATTGAGACATTCTTAGAAAATATGAATGGTAGTGGTCCTCAAGAAAGTAAACTAAATGAAGAGATAAAAATTCACTTGCTAGTGGTAACCCTGTGATAAGATGCCTGAGTGTGGCCTCTATCACATTATTTTTCCTCTTTCAAACTCTCTTTGCTTGTTTTTATGTGTGTATTTAATTTAGAATCTTGTATGTAGGTAACACATGTTTATTTCTTGGTCAGGAATGGAAACCTAGGATAAGTGAATTAAACTTAGGTTAAGCGAATCAGCTCTCAAGAGGATGAGATAAAAGAACCACTTCATGTAACAGAACCAGTACAAGTACCAAGAAGCCAAAATAGCTGTTCTGAGGGATCCAGGGATCACATAAATAGGCGACAGCATCTCACAGGTAGTAAAAACTAGTGTCATGAAAGTATAATCAGGGGAAGAGTATTTCTTACTGTTTGGGAGTAAGACCAATAAAGTACTTTTGGAATAAGTTACGTCTCAGTATCAATATCATGAATCAACTGTTCTTTCTGATGGTACTGGGATCAGACCCAGGGCCATGTGCTCTAAACATGTGATCTACACTAAACTACCCCATCAATTCGGGTTGGTTTTGAGACAGGGTCTCATTGTGTAGTTCAGGCTAGCCTTGAACTCACTATGTAGCCCAGGCTGGTCTTGAACTTGTAGCGATTCTCCTGACTCAGCCTCCTGAGTGCTGGGATTGCAGGCATGTGCCACCACACCCAGCTACCAATTTAGTTTTGAATATGTCTGTAATTTAAAAAACAAAAAATCAAAAATTACACCTTAATGAACAGGTACTAAAAGACCAGAAGTATCACAATTTTGTAGACTTACAGTTTATAACAAGTTTACATATTTTCAAAATAATTAACACATGAACAATCATATTAATATTTAGCTATGTTTAAAATATCATCCAATAATGATAGCAATAAAAACACATGACATCCTTAAGCTCTTTAAGCATGTGAAATACACTTTCTTTGAATATATATTTATTTTCCCAAGAACTTAACAAAATGAAAGTACCTTTAAACTGCATTTCCCATTCTCGAACACTCTCCATCTGTACTGCATTCAAATCTGAGAGGTCATCATATTCATCTCTAAGTGCATCCTTATCTAGGCAAAATGTTGCTAGTCCTCTGGAGGCATCTCTACCAGCAAATATTCCATATGGCCCCGCTGAAAAATGAAAAGAAATTATTTAGATTGCCTAACAATACTTTGGAACGTCCAAATTATTATGGAATATCCTCACTATAAATGCTATTTGGTACAAAGCCTTAATTAAAAAATTTGCATAGGTACTAGGTGAGAAAATGAAAACCTTGTTAGAAATCTTTGACCAAAGTCAAACTTTTCACTGGAATCTTAAAATTAAATTTCAACTACTTTAGATATCCCAGGACCTGTATTCAAAATAAAGACCGTGAGGTAGTTAGGGCAAAGAAGAAACTCAAGAAGTTTGGTTTAGATACCCGCTTGCTTAAAAAGAAAAGACGTTTTACTAATTGTTAATTAATAGTGGCACTCAAAACTAACAGACTACTCACTGTATGTGCTACATATAGACTCAGGTGAGATGTGAGACTACATTTTTTTCTCCTACTTTCTGTTGGTTATAACTATGACAACAGAGACTGTATAATATTTGCAGGCACAGTGACTAGGTTCAATGCTGAGCATGTGTTCACACGTTTAACAAATCTTTCCTAAATACTGGCCAAAAATGTGACCTGTTTTAAAAATCAGTACCATCAGAACATTATAACATACATATACATTTGTCATTAAGGAAAATGCAACTGTCATGACTACTGGGAAACAGAAGTAAGCTATAAGAATAGTTAACACATTAAATAATGACTGGTATTTTGTCCAGAAAATTAGGCATCACCCTCTCTGGGGAGGAATGGCATGACTGATGTCTTGAAGGAAGCAAAACATTCCTAAAGTCTGTCCGTGAGAGTTGTTCATTCATTTGCATCCTCAATGCCTAAGTACAGTGCCTCATGTGAAGAAGGAACACAATAAATTTCTTTCAAATAAATTACCTGAAGTTCCAAACAAGGAGAAACAAAATCCTGACCCTTAAATAGATTCACTCACTGAAGCAAAGCCTCCATCCAAACATATGATTAAAAAGACACTTCACTTGTTTAAAACTGATGGTTATATCAACAAATTGAAACAACTAATTTTCTTTGTCAAGAATTTTGGTTCAGGGCCAGGGATTTAGCTCAGTGGTTCTGCCGCCTACCTCGCAAGCACAAAGCCCTGAGTTCAATCCCCGGTTCCCCCTCCCACAAAAAAGAATTTTGGTTCAATATAGTGCATTCATTTAATGAAATACTATCAGAATGAGGTAACTCTGCATGTACTGACATTAAAAGTACAGGATCTATTAACTGAAAAAAGTACTATTTACCTTGAATTGAAAAAAACCACACATATGTATAGTTTATGTTTGTATACTCAAGAAAAACACCAGGAAGAATAAAATCAAGTATTTAATGGTGGCAACATTTCTGGGGAATGGAAAATTTTTCTTCACATAACTGGTAAGGTCTAGCCATCTGAAAATGATTTTTATAATAAAGTCTTTTAAGAGTTAACTGTCTTCCTCTTTTGTTGCAGAGTAAACTACACAGATTTTTGTTTTAAGTGTTTTTCAAAGATTTGAGTGCCAATGAATGAGATTTCCAAAATATGTAATTTTATAAAAGAAAATTTCTTTTTTTTTAAAATTTCTTTTCTGAGTCTGTAAGACAGTCATAATGACAAAGGTCTTCTAGGGAAAACAGTCTTAAAACGAGTTATTGGATTTACTATTATGAATTCGAGAGTGATCAATAAGAAAGGTTATTAGAATTAAGTATTTTCTAATAAGTAAACAAGTAGGAAAACAATGATGAAAACATCTGTGAACACTATACACAGTCTCTTAAGGCTGACTGGATAATGCCTATAAACTTAGAAAAAGTGAAAAATAAAAAACACAAAAGGAAAAAAACAGATCACAGCCATAACAAGTTATACATGGAAAATGATAGTTTCCCTTTTTTTTTTTCAGGCAGAGTTTTGCTATGTATTCCAGGCTGATCTCAAACTCAAGATCCTCCTGCATCAGCCTCCAAATGCTGGGATTACAGGCATATGCCAACCATACCCGGACTCAAATAGCTTCTGTGTTTTAAAGAATATTTCAGCAATCTCATTTTCCTCTTATTTAGTTTCACAAAGTGGAAGAGACAGATTTTGCCTTCTTCCCCACTTGGCAGATGAAAGAAACTGGAGTCAAGACATTCAGTACGTTACCTAAATTTACTGAGAAAGAACTGGAAGTACCACTCCAGACACTGTACCTTAAGAAAACACAGAGGACCCACAAACCCAAAGATGCAATGACAACCCTGGAAAATGGAGCATTTTGTTAATTACCAAATTTCAGGGGAATGGAATTTTAGAATACTTGTTAAATTAAAATGAAAGAAAATTAACAAAACCAGCTTCTCTTGAAATTGTTACATTACGCACTTCCATGGCCTGCAAATGTTAACCTAAATCAGGCACTTCAGAGTGTAAACCATAAAACACATTTAAGTGTTACAAAGAAAAAAAAGATGGTTGTGGCAAAAACCGCAAACACAGCACCACAAAAATTAAATTAAATGAATAGAAAATAAAAACACCAATCAGAAAACCCTCATTTTTGAGTATATAAACATATACCATATTCTCTAGTATTAAATTTCTCTGCCAGCTTCCCTAAGGAAAACCCAACCCTGAATGAATATAGAAACAAAACTTCATATATTTTCTCTTTTGCTGGTTTTAGATAGATGACTTAGTAAGGGAAACCTGAGCCAACAATTAATAATCAGAGCCAAATTCTACACAAAATGTTTTGTTACCTCCTGAATAGAAAAGAATAAATATTCCTGTACTCCATAAAACTGTATTAAGCTGCCTTCTCTGTATGTTTAGAATTTTCCTCTGGAAGCAGTTAACTTCTAAAAAGGTCTTTTTGGTATACTTTTCTTTGCTTTCTCTGCTATAAGTGCTATAAGATCATTAAAGAATTTAAAAATAAAATTAAGAACTACAGCTAGAATTGGACAGGTTGCTCTGAAAAGGGAGGATTTGTAGTCTAATAAAAGGATATTCCACTGAATTCACAATACAACCAGAAGCATATCAAGAGAAACCAGCAATTCCTCCCCAGTATACTACCCTCTGTTATAACAAATCCCAAATTCAAATATTTTGATAAATACTTAGTTATCTACAAAACTAAAATAACAAGGAGCAATCTAAGGAAAGCAAATCTGAAATAGTATTAAGTTTTTAGTACAGTATAATTTACTAAAAAAGTAAAGGCTGGCTTATATAAATTAACCTGGTTATTTTTGACTATTGACTCATTTAGACATTAATATAGAAGACCCTTCCCCCAAATATAGAAGATCTTCAACCTAACAATGGCCTGACTTAATGATTTTCTGACTTTATAAAGCCATACTTTAAATTCTGACCTTCTGCTGGGACTAGTGATAGGTGGTGATTCTGGGCAGTGACCACCAAGCATGGCTCCCATGCTCCAGGCAGCCAGCCATGCAAGCACAAGGAGAAAAAACTCATACTCCAGTGTGCTACAAGGAGTCATCAAAATATACAGTGAACGCTTACATTTTAAAAGATACACTGCCACAAATTCTCAAAATCCTCCCCTCACTCCAAACATGTACCTTGTTGTTCTGCCACTTTCTGAAGCAGTTCTGAAAGTCCTCTTTTATGAGTGTCTTCAGGAGGTGAGGAAAAACATGTTGAATGCTGTTGCTGAGTGACATCCAACAGAAAGCCAGGCTCACAACAATATTACAGTGTATCCTCACCCACCTTTCTCATTAGATCTGGCACCTGGTTTTCCCCAAGTCAAAATGACCATGAAAGATAAACATTTTGAATCCATTCAAGTTATCAAGGCAGTCAAGACAGTGCAACTGAAAACATCAAAGAGGACTCCCAGAACTGCTTCAGAAAGTGGCAAGAATGATGGGATGTGTTCAAAGAAGAAGTATTGGGGGGGGGGGGGGTTGTGGTTAATGGCAATGTGTCTATTACTATATAAAATTTAAACTTTCAGCCTATTTTTCAATCATACCTCATATATGGTATTAGCAGTGATTTTCGGATAAAGTACTCAATAAATTACAGGAGATATTCAACACTTTAGCATACAATATGCCTTAATATGCCACATAAGATAACTCTGTCCAACTGTAGGCTAACCTAAGTTCTGAACATATCTAAGGTATTCTGGACTAAGCTGAGGTGTTCAGTAAACTGGATACATTAAATGCATTTTCAACCTAATGATGTTTTTTCAGATAGTGACCCCAACACAAGTTGAGGAACATCTGCAATCTAATCATACTTAAGGGAGTTAAATACTATTGCTTTATCAGACTACAATACAATGTTGATAGAAAAAAGACCGTTTCAAGAAAATCCCTGCTACAAAACTGAAGAGCATTATTCAGTGAAAGCAGATTCTCTGAAGTGTACACACATAGCAAATATTCCAGGACATCATTTTGAAGATAAATTTTATTTAAAATAGAAAGTTAAATATACCAAAATAACATCATTATTGTTAGAATAAGAATTTCACTATTAACTTTTACAGCCAACCTAAATTTCAAAATTAAAAAAAGAAAAATCAATAAACTTAGTTACTAACTGCATCCTAAAACTGCTTACTTTATTACAATCACAGAGAATAGGGTGGACATATTTTTGAAATGGCAAAAATATATGGTCATGAGAAAGCAGTGTTTTTTAATAATTTAATGAACATAAAATGTCAAGAAGTAAATAAAATGTGTAATAATGGATAATTCTGTAATTATTATGATTATATAGAGGAGAAATATTCCTTGAAATAAAAAGCTTATAAAGAGAAAAAATATTCTCCAATGAATATTTTAGTTATTTCCATTATTTAAAAACTATAGCTTTCGAAGACAGACTTTTAATTCATTGAAGTTTATAAATAGTACAGGTTTCTCTTCTGTTTTGAGAAGTTATTTTGGTTGTTGTTGTTGTTTTTAGTAATACTTAACAGTTATTTCAAATAAAAGATTAGAATGGGCCTAGGAACAAATGAGGGAATATGTAAA